TGACAAAAAGCTGAGAGAAATTGGCTGTTCAGACCTGAGATGACAGAGTTAAGGGTGAGAGAGAAGGATCTTACTGCTGTCATCACATACCTCATACAAATACAGACAGCAGACAGAGCCAAACTCTTCTTGAAAAGGTAGGTATAGTATAAGAGATAACAAACACAAAGTTACAGGAGGGAAATTTTTATTAGATATGCAGATTATTTGTTCATTTCTTTTGCAAAAGCAGTCAAACACTGTAAGAAGTTGCCAGGAAAATTTGTGGTTTCATCACACTTTGAGATATTCAGAACTTGACTGGAAAAAGCCCTAAGCAACCTCATCTAAGTTAGGCCTGCTTTGAGCAAGGATTAGATCAGATGACCTCCAGAGGTTCCTTCCAACCTAAACTATTCTATTTTTATGATTTTATTATGTTAATTCAGAGAAATAACTAAGATTATCAAGAGATAACCTTTTGAACTTGCATTTCCTATGAACTACCCCTGAAAAGAGATTTACAGAAAAAAGGTATCTTCTCTGGCATGAAGCATAAAGATTTTAGCTCATTTTAGTCATGAAGACAGTAATAATGGCTTATACCCATACTCTTGCAAATAAAAGAGAAGATGAAGTACTTAAATGTGAAATAAACAAATAAAACTATACAAACCTACTGGCATCTATTAATGATACTGAAAGAGAGAAGGCCTACAGCCAAAAAGAGATTTGTACCCTGTGTTAAAAAACATGCCCAGCCTGCTTATTTATGGGTCAGACCTCCAAATTTTATTCACCTTCTGATCTTGATGAGAGTATTTGTCAACACTGGTACACTCCTTGCTTCAGTTTTCAGAGCCAGCCCCTTGTTTAGCAATTGCTAAACTGACTGTTAGATCGTGTTTACTAAATAGCATCCAAGGGAAAGACATTTCCACTCCACGGGAAGATGCATTTCTACAGAATGACACTCTTTCTCATTATCAAAGGCTGGCACTCATGTTACTGCATTATTTTCCAACATCCAGGCTCACTGGGATTCATGAACAAGTAGCACAAAACTGGAGTTGTATGTTTGACTTTGCTTCCCTTGCTATTTCAAGTACCACAAAAATTACAGTCAACAATTGTTGGGTTTCCCTGTCTGCAAGCCTTGCTTGACCTTGGGAGAGAAAAAAATAACTCTTATTTCCTTTTCCTTTCCACTCCCTTTTCCTTCAAACACTTCATATCACATACAAACCTGGCCCTGTATATATATTTACTTTTCAAATATTTACACAGATTTTCTGAAGGTTAGGAAGAAGTTTACTTGCAGTAATGTCAGCAAATACTAAACTATTTCACCAAAGATTTACACAGCTAAAGAAAGAACTCAGGGAGACAGGAGATACTTGTCTTTCATATCCTGTACAATAAGGTTTAGGACACATAAACTGAACCTAAAACTTTTTTTACTAACATAAATTAAAAACTGTTGCTGGATTAAAAAAATAAGGGGAAGATATTAGTGTTTCTTCTCCGATAATGATAGCAGACAAACTGCATCAAATAGAATAAGTATGACCAACTAATAAACAGAAAGCAGACCAAGTATCAAATTTCTACCTTTCATTCCTGGACCTCTTGTGTCAGGTCCATAACTTTATCTAGTCTGCTACTTGTTAGCTTTATTATTTTCTCCTCAATAGAATGAGTTTTATATGACAATATTTTGTGTCTGTTGCTAGGGAACTAATAGGTGTTGTGTATGAATTGTTTGGCAAAAGGAATATAGTAAATATGAGATAAAATACATGGTTTTTAAATAAAACCCACAAGGAAACCAGTGTATTCAAGTCACTTTCTTGGGTTTTTATGTTGTTGTTTGTTTTTTTTTTAAATTTGGGTACCTAAACTCATTGGATTGTCTTGTATTCTAGACTATTTTTGTTCTGCATTTGTCATTTGTACTACACAATAGTAACATTGTATAACTGAATATAACAATGAATTACAATTTATTTGTTGAAACAGATAAATGCAAAACCACATTAATATGCAAAAGCATATGAGCAAATATATGAAGATATATGCAAAAAAAAGTTTATATTCTGTGAGATTCACTTAGGGAAGTGAAGCTGTGGTCAGCAAAGCAGGATGAGTCTCTAGGACACTTTAGCAGTTACATAAGCCTTCAAAACAGGGTTTCACCAATAAGCAGATAGATGAATTTCATTTCAGCCGGAATAACTGGGCTAGAGAAAGCACAGATCTTTGATCTAGCAGTCTTCCTACACCTTTAACTTGCGTAACTCATGATGATCCCTGTCTCCTGATGAGGCAATACACCTCCTACTTCCTCTCAAATTTTCGAAGATGCTGAATAGAAATAACAGGGTTTAAGCAGAAAATGAAGCACAAATTCATAGAGAACATACAGAGATCTTCTCTGCTGATCATGATAATGTTTATTCCTGCTTATAATATGTTTGGCTTGTATCTCTATCAACACACAAATGACACTTTGCTTGGGGTCCAGAACTCTTCCAGAGCGTGACTTGCATGCTGTGTTGAAACTTGTGCTGATGGGACTAAAATACTGTTTCTAAGAGGGGAATGTCTCCTTGTGAAGGCTTATATCTGAAAGGCCAGCATAAATTCTATGACTAACAATTATGACCCCCTCTCAAAGATGGATTTGTTCTCCAAAGATCAAAATGGCAGCCAGCCTAGGGCTCTCCTAACATGGTTCAAGACAGTACAAAGAGAAGATCCTTTCCACAAATGAACACTTACAAGACAGACAAGGTAATCAGAAAGATGTGTAAAAGCAGTTCCTAGTTTAAGGATTATAATCAAGTCCAGGTCTCACAGATTTTGCTTAGTACTGCATTTCTTTTCAAGTGTCCGTAACTCTATAGTGTTTTCCAGAGAGAAAAAAATGTTTAAGAAATTACTTTGCTAAATGTTTATTCACCGCATTTCTTTCACACTTTTTTTTCTGATTAAGAACTGGTCTAAGAACCAAAATTCTTACACACAAATGGATTTCTAGGAGTTGGAACTAAGCTGGAAAATAGTAAAAGAGGATTAAGGCAGTGCATGCAGCTTTTAAGGCATGTATGACATCATTCAATAGTTAGAAAATGGTATCAGGTATGGATTTGTATTTCTCGATGCATGCCTGAGACATCCAGTGTTCGCCACGGAGGAGGCAGAATCCATGTAGAATTTGGGCCTGAAGATAACTGACGAGTGTACCTCTAGAACAGGGATGTATCAGGTAGAAGGGGAGAAATGTCTGATTCTAACATGTACTTTAGGTAACAGAACTTGTAGAGAAAGAGGGTAATGTGAAACCTTTTCTGCTTCAGTGATGAGAGGAGTAAGGATAACATAGGCAATTTTTTGGTAAAATTACAAGATCGGATTCATGGGCTAGTGACTACAAATATAGCAAGAGAATTGTTCAGCTTTTTTTTTTTTTTTTTTTTTTTTTTTAAATATGGTCTCAACTTTGCTCCTCGATGCACATTCAAATAGCTAAGTCAGTATTCAGAATTTTAAATATGTTTTCACCAGAGTTATTAACTCAGGATTATTTAGTCTCCCCCCCCCCCCAAAAAAAAAAAAATTAAAAAAATTGGATTTAGCTTACTAAAACAATCCAAACTCACTTACCATTTCTGCAGATTGAAAATTAAGTACTTAAAAGTCATATTTATGCATGTGCTGGGAGCATTTACAAAACAATGCAAGGGCATTGCGAGTTGTTTTACAGAGATTTTGGTTTCTTTTATGACATTAGGAAAAGGAACAAGGACAGTATCACACGTTCCAGAACTTCTACGTTTACAAGTGAAATCAGTAACTAATCCAGCTTGAAAGGTTATAGATTTTTATTTCCTTGCAAGGAACAGTGTAGCTATTTCAGTTAAATACCATTTAATCCCTGACAAAAATCTGCAAAGCCCTACATATTTAACATTTCTGTGGTTCAGAACTATAAAGAAAACACTGGAAAATCACGAGTTGTACAGCACCCTCCCACTTAAAAATTTTCTTGGCCTGTGCGATGGGCTGCCCCCTCCTTCTTGAAAGTAAGAGCGTTGCTGCCTTTAAACAGTTTCCATATATTTTCATGCTGTTCCCAGACTGCATACAGCCATAGAAGAGCCGCTTTAGCTCCAAGGATGTTTGGGGTGCTGCTTGCCAGACAGGGTTAGGAAGAGCGGCTGCCTGTTAGCAGTCAAGCATGACTCACACAACAGGCTGCATGTTCCGTATGCAAAACACGTGGTTTCAAAAGACAGATGCAACCACCAAGTTCCAACATACCAATTAATTATCATATACTTCCTTTTATATCTCCCCGCTCATGTTTTGCAAGCATTATGATAATTATTTACAGCATGTTCAGTGCCTCGGGGTTTGTAGAACAGCTATTTAGACGCTCGGTTCCCTCAGTGGGAAAAGATACTTAAACACGCACTTCCTCAACCGGTTTGGAGGCAGGAGCCAGCGGCTCTGCTGCTCCCCCGGAGCCCAGTGCGGCCAGCTGCTCCCCCGGCATGCCGCAGCACCCTGGGCAGAGACGCAACGTCTGGCGCAGGGTGCCGGGCGCCGGGGGAGGTGAGCGTAGGGCCGGGATCTCCCCACAGCCAGCGGCAGGCTTAACGGCCCCTCCAGGGGAGCCGGTTGGCGGCACCCAGCGTAGGCCGCGTCACCATGGCAACCCTCCGCAGCAGGGGGCGGGGCCGTCGGCAGGGCGAGGTCGCCGGAGTGCAGAGTGCATGCGCCATAGCCACGGTATCCCCGGGAACGCATGGACGCTTGGAGCCGGCGCATGCGTAAAGCGGACTCGGCGGCATCCTGCGGACCGCGCATGCGCTTCACGTCCCTTTCTCCGGTGCGCGGGCGCTTTGGTGGGGTGGGTAGGGGATCGGAATGCGAACCGGAAGTGGAAGCATTGCGCTCAAGTAAACCGCTTTTCCCGTCTTGAGGCAGTCGGACCGTTCCCGTGCTTCCCGCGCCTTGTTCAGTGACGTCCAAGCGCCGGCAGGCAGCGAGTAAGCGGCCGCCGCCCTCGCTCCCTGGAGGTGCCGCCGGACCCTAGCCGCCTCGTCCGTCCCCCTCCCCCGCCCTCGTCTCTGCCTGGCGACCGCGATGTCTGACAAGGAGTTCATGTGGGCCCTCAAAAACGGAGACTTGGATGAGGTGAAGGACTACGTGGCCAAGGTAGGAACAGGCGGCTGAAGGGCTGAGGAGCGGCGCTGTGGGCTGAGGAGGGAGGAATGTGTAGGTGGGAGTTCTCAGGGCCCTCCGCCCGGGTCCTGAGTGGATGGCCTGGGGCGTGGTGGCCCCATCCAGCCTGATTGGGGGGTAGGCAGTCTGTGAGCTTTGCACTATGGTGAGGGTCCAGGCGGTTGGGTGTGCTTCCTGTACCCCTCTTTGCGGCCCTGTCGGTTTCTGGGCTTCTTCCTTTTGGACATTTCTAAGGTTTGCCTGGACAGGGTGCTGGGATGCCTACTCTACGTCGTGTTTTGCTTAGAAAGGTTGGACCCGATGATCCTTGAGGTCCTTTCCAACCTGATATTCTGTGATTCCTTTTCTCACTCATTGCCCTGTCCCCCTCCTGCCCCCACGCCCACCCTTGTGCATGCAGGAGAAGTTGCTGTGAAATTGTCTGGATTGACAGCCCTTATCCTAGTCTGCCTCGTTGATCTTATGTGTATATGCATATGTGTGGCCTCGGTTTGGTTATCCTTCCTCTCTGTGCCTCAGGGCTCATCCTTAATAGGGTGATGCTAAGCCACTGGGTGTGTTGAGGCTTAATTCATTAACCTTCTGTGAAGTATTTTGATATCTAGTTAGGTCGAGTGCTACAGGAATAGTAGACACCTGTGTAATGGCTAAAAAGTCTTGAGGTACATTGTACGTGGAGGCTGGATTCTGTCCTCGTTTGCCTTCGGCTGTCAATGAGATTTCCAGGGAAAGTGCATGTACATAAGGCCAAGGTTCTACTTCAGTGAACTCTTAATGTTCAGGAATATTACCTAGAATCTGTTACATCAGAGCAGAGATTTCCATGTAATTTAGCTATAATTACTTTGATTTCTGAACAAGCGAATTACTGTATTTGGGAGCTTGACATGTGCTGACATCTTGCTGTGGTGACTTAAGTTCTTCCTACTCCACTTGTCAACTTTGAAAGTTACCCAAGCTTGTAGCATTCTTGGTAAAAAGAAACGTGTAAGTGCTTCCACTTCTTTAGTACAAAGTCCAACAGCTTGGCTCGAATAGTGTTCTCTGACGGTTTCAGCTAAAATACTGGACTTTGCATCACGGTGGCTGTGCACTCACATGTTCTGCTCTGTCTCTAAAGTGCTAGAAGTAACAACTGGGAATAATATAATTCAGCAGTTTAAGGGTCTTGTACCTATGTCTGTAATAAAGTTGAATGTTGCATTGATGTGTCTTGCTTCTTCTCAGCTTTGGGGGCCTCCAGAGTGTTTCAACAGCAGATTTGGATTCTTATTAGAGCTTTTACAGGAATTCCATATATATCTAGAGAACTCGCTGCACACTAGTGATTAATGGATCCTTGTGTATCTGTTGCTGAGGCAAAAATTTTGGCAGTAACCATCGAGTCAGTTTATATCTGCAAGATATAAACTGCAATGCTAATCACAAAGGTTTTTTTACTTTCTCACTCTTTCTGAGTTGTGCTGCAACTCATAGCAAATAGATTTGATCACTCTTCATCTACTTCAGTGCAAAGTCAAATACTTAGTTCCATCTGCTGCTGAAAGAAGCTTGAGCCAACCTGCATGATGCTATAGTAAAGAGGCTGAAGGGCATCATCTAACTTCACTAATGAGGTAGAAATCCTTGAAAGAGAGACACTGTGGTTAGATAATTGCAGTAAATTAAACATTAGAATCCTTGAACAACATATACATTTGAGAGCTGCTTCTAATGTAGAAAGTGAGTAAACTGTGGGAACTTTCTCCTCGTCTGTGACCTAATCTTATTCATTCTTCCCTCTCCCACTTGCAAATATGCTATCATTCTACTTGCCAGTAGTGTAAGAGCTCTAATATTTTCTTTTCAGACCAGCATATTTTCTTGACAGATTGTGGACTAGTAGACACTTAGCCTCGTTTCCTGTGGAAACAAAGCTTATGTGGGCAAGTTTTGACTGACCCTCTTCCTTCCTAATAGTTTGTTAAAATTTTTTTGGCTAATTTTTGTTAAGCTTTATGGGGGTGTGGATAGATTCTGGTGCGTTTTGCAAAAGTACTGAAGTAGAGGGAAGTACATTAAGCGAAGAAAAGAGTACCAAAGTGAACTCATGTTTTACTGCACAACAGGAAATATGCATTGAGAAGGGGCAAGTGAACTCTATAAATCCTAACTGTAGGAGAAACCTCAGAACTTGCATTCTTGGTTCCTAAATTAATAAAATATGTGAAGGCAAATCATGTTTTGGTAGTTATAGTTCTCGGAAAAGTATCTGTTCCATGCTGCATGTTCTTTTTTGACTCTCTTCCTTATCAGTTATATGGCTTCTGCTCCCTGCTGCTTTCCTGTTCTAAGTATGATTTAATGTTCAGGAATTTTACTTATATAAACTTTGCAGTAGTAGAAATTTCCTCTCCCTGTGATGTGGGAGTCTTCATCTTCATAAAATTCTTTCTTGTCTGTCTTCCTGAAACTTTTGGTTTCCAGCTTCTCATTTGTTTTGTGTCTTGTTTCCTCATTAGTTGATTGGATACAATACAGCTTTTAACCATAATCTTGCAATTTTGCTGCCAATTACTAGATAAAGGGTTTGACCTCTGATTTTGTTTTGTATCTGAATGGCAGGGCTTGAAATGCTAGCTAGATGACCTGAGGTGCTTTAACAATAATAGTATAAATGGATGTCATCAGTGAGGCTATAAATGAGTCTTTGCTTTTCTTCACTTGTGTGTAATAAGTTGTGGAGGTTCTGTCTTTGGAGTCATTATTATTTCTTTTTTTTAATCTTGGATTTAGTTCGTAGGTAACAAGAGGAAGGTATCTGTCAGACTTCGATTCAAACAGCAGGTGAAACTTAACCTATAATGTGAAAACTATGTCACTGAAAGGAAAGGATTGTTGTCCTTAAATAGGGAAAGTTTCTGCCACTTCAACAGTTCTTGGACAAAGAAGGAATACAGAGGTAGACGGAAAAGTCTCCATTTGCATTTCATACATCTCTGTGTAAAGAGATCCTTCATTCTCTTAAGATATTTTCTTCAGAAAGAGTCTTTCACAGAAACATATTTCTGAGGGGTGGCAATGAAACAGATAAATGCCAAATGATACTGCTTTGTTGGTCAGTAGAAGATTTTAGTCCTGCCAGACTGTGCATTTGGAAGATACTGTTGGTTTCTACTTGATAAAAGTGTGAAAGATTATTTTATAGTTTGAGTAGTTCTGTAAAACTTCTTAGATTTTTGTAAGAAGCATCTTGCTAGACATGATTTTAAGTAGAGAAATGGAAAGAGCACTTTTTTCTGTGTGGTAAATACTAATTTCTACAGAAGTACTGTAGTTAGTGTGTTATGCTAGCAGTTATGTATGGTGTCATCTATTTTTATGAAGACTAGATTAAAAAAGTAGCTTTTACTGTTTGTCTTTGATGTCTTCCTTTTGAACACAGCCAGCATATGTTGATTCAAAGGTGCCTTTGCAAGAATTGAAGGAATTCTGCACTCTTCCCACATACATCCACTCAAATTTTTAAAATTACCAAAGAAAGGAGAAGCTTTCAAGTGAACAGATGAATCAAATGTGCAGTTAAATGGGTGAGGAGGATCCATGTGGATTAGAGAAATTTCCTTTACTCAAGGGAGGGAATAGGGGTTGAAATGTACTAGTCGGAAGAAGATCAGGGTATATTAAGCCTAGAACTTCTTAATGCAAATGGTGTTTGCTCTTTTTCCTTTATCCTCCTCCCTCAGTGGAACAAGATAAGCTGTACAATTGCCTTAAAAGACTTTTCTATCAACATGTACATGTAATGTTTCCAGTCAGCAGTAGATTTCTCAGGCCAAGTATAATTCACATTCAGTCACTGGGTACAAAGTTTTGAGGAAGATAAACTTGGATTTGTAAGGAAGAGGTTACAGTAAATGTTTGTTCTAAAGTAACTTCATCTCCCATAGCTTAACTGGGAATTCCTTACTTAATGAGCTGCTGTATTCTCCTACACCGTTGCTTCCTAAACATACTGCTGCTTACAGTGATGTTTGGTAAATCAGCTAGCCTAATACTTTGAGAAGATAGGACAGTCAGCCAAACTGGAAGCACCGGGTTTTTCTTGCTGAGAGGACTGGGGAGTTGGAGTGATGGTAGATTGTAAGACATGTGTTTTTTAGTATATATGTGCTGTGCTTGCATAGTAAGCATTTATGGTGTGAAGTCTTGGTTTTTACATAGTAAAACAAACAGCTGAAACAAAACCAAATCCCTAGAGGACCTTTAGTAACTCGGCTACAAAACAGCATCTGTACATCCTTCACTCAATTGTAATACTACAGTCTTGCAGTTCTTTGGGATATAATGATGCTTGAATGCATGTCTTGAGAAATGCATAAAACATGACTACTGCAAAACTAATTGGAGAGGCTAACACAAGAACATTGTTTAGAAATACCTTTTTGAAATAGAGTTAGCAGTCAAGGGTATAGTGTTGTGAAAAAAAGAGAATCTTAACTCTGCAGGAAGAATTGTTGGAATGTAGAAATAAATAGCTTTTAACTTTTGAGGGGTAACCTCAGTTCTTCTGAATGGAATGACTTCTACTCCTTTAGGGACAAACTAAATGAAAACAAACACTGAAATGGTCATTGTATATGGGTAGTTTACTTGAGTTACAGATTAACCATACCTTGGATACATTGAAATTCACCTTGTCTCATTAGATTGAATGCTGAAGTACATGTCATTATTATGACTACGTTGATATCTGAATTGCCTATACTTGGGAAAGAGTTTTCTTGCTTTTAAGTGAAAGGAAACCTGAAAGCCTGCGTGGATTAAAGTGCAGTGTAAGCATGCCTCAGTAGTTTGTCCAGGGGAGTATCAGGGTTAGCAGTGACCTTGGAGATGCTGGACTGTTTTATCCCCTGTGAAGCCCCTTGCATATTTCAGTGTTACACCAGTACTTGTAGCATGTGGATATTTCCTTATCTGGAGTATTCTAGGCT